TTGTTGTGATTTGGTGGTCTTCCTTGAATGCGTACGTTCGCTGTCCCCCCCTCGTCTGCGCACATGCCCCCGGCCATGGCACCCGACAGCCCCCCTCTTCCCGGCCCCCCTCCGCGCACACGAGGTTCTGCGGCTTTGGGCAACGGGCGGAAGCGTGGTTTGCACAGCCCTTCCGCCCGGCCTGCCAAGAGAACCACACATGCAACCTTCAAGGCCTCCTGGATGGGGTCCGAGTAGATGGAGTCGGAGGGTAGCGCCGCATCGGCGATGCATCGGCGATGCAGGTCGATGCGGAACCCGATGTTATCCAGGCTGGCGTCGCCAATACATCGCCGACGTTGCCGATGCATCGATGATGCATTGGCGATCCATCGCCGATGCATTGGCGATGTGGCGCGATCCTCCGACCCCATCTGCTCGGACCCCATCTAGGAGGCCTCTAAACCTGCTACTCTTACGAATTCAATCCACATCCTTTGTGTATTTCGCCCCGTCTTACCTGTCGGCAGCGCCATCGAGAAGTTCAGCGCGGATTTCATGAGCACCTGCTGCTTGGTTCCCAGCGCTCCTTATTTTCGAATCGGCTGCGGGCGGTGCCGTCGTGAGCCCGAAGGGTACCCGCCTGGGCATCCCCCGTGCACGTCTTCCAGGGATGGGCAGGCGTTGCGCTCGATCCTTGACCAAGGACCAAGGTGTGGGGCCACGGTGCCGAGGGCGCGGTTGCAGGAGCAGTGCCACAGACTCGCTCTCCGACGCTGTCTCGCGCGAGTCATCCGGGGCAACGTTAGGGTGTATGGGCTCGGGGAGCGGACGCAGCGAACCCCAAGCGCCCCTGGATCGCCGACAGGGGGCCCGGTAGCACACCCCGCCCGGGAGCGCCCGGATTCGCTTTCGGGGGCCCATCACCGATCTGTCGGCGATGTGCCGGCGGTTCCCGATCAGGAGTTCCCCCTCGGCTGGCACCCCCGCGGAGGCGGCGCGAGGCTTTATGATGAGGAGGAGGAGGGGGAGGAGGAGGAGGAGGAGGAGGAGGAGGAGGAGGAGGAGGAGGAGGAGGCCGAGCCCCGAGCTGGGTGCCCATAGAGCCGGTCTCGCACATCTCGCTGGCCCTGCCCCTCGCTGGCACCGCGCTCGGCCACGGCGCCCCGGCGGCAGAGCAAAAGCGGGCTGCGGGCCCCAGGGCGGGAGGAGTTCAGCGGCCCCTGCATGGGCAGCAGCCCAGGCAGGGAGGAGGCCCAGGAGGAGGACCCAGGCCCCCCAGGCGGGTTTCCCATACAGTTTTCCAGAGTGTTCGGCCCAGCTTCCAGACACTCCACGCACAGTTTCCAGGCCCAGTTTCCCCATGGCTTCCAGACATCCAATGCAATGGTTTTCCATAGTTTCAGGCCTCCGGGGGGGCTTCGCCGGGGCCCCCGGACCGTAAAAAAGAACAATCGGGATGGAAAGCCGGTCCCAGGGAGTGGGTCGAGACACGTGGGGGCCCACGGTCCACGTTGCGAACGAAAAGAACAGTCGGGATGAAAAGGCTGTCCTGGGGAGTGGGTCGAGACATCTGGGGGTCCACGTTGCGAATGACGTCGGGAGTCTGGGGACGGAGGAGGACAAGGGGCAAGAGAGGAGGAGGGTGAGGGGGGAGACGTCCACCTGAAGTCGGCCCGGTCACAGCCGACGCTGCAACCCGTTCGAGGCGTCGGCCCCCAGGGCTTCGACCACTGCCGTGCGGGCCTGGGCCTGATCCCGAGGAAGCAGTTGCCCCGGGTCCGGGAGGCGGCCTCCAGGAGCCGCAAGCGACCACGAGAATGCCGCCGCTCATTTGTGTTCGGCTCCCGCGCGCCCCAAGGAGTGGCGGCGTCTGTGTGGCCCGAGGCCAGCGGGGGTCTCCCGCCCCGCCCCGCCCTCGAGACGCCGGGCTGGCCCCATCGAGGGGATCGGCTACACGCAAGGGTCACCTTTCGCCAGGGTGGCCGTTGGCGCAGGCAAATCGGAGTCCCCGGATGACTGAGCGCGATGCGGTAGCAGTGTATTGCGCGCTCGGCTTTGGACTCCCCGAGGCCCCCGGAAGGCGCGCAGCAAAGGTCAACCTTGCCTGGGATCGGTATTGCGTGTAGCCGAAAAGAGAATCCTCCTGTCCCCCATCCTCCCCGTCCCAATCCTCCGCCCCCCTCCATCGCTTGTCCTGGTGGGTTACTCCTCTCTGTCGCACACCCAGACATGTCGGTAGGGCTTGTCGGGCGTGTTACCTTTACCTGAGACCTTATAGCTTATGATCCTGAAGCTTGACAAATGCAACATTCACAGGGCACAGTTCATGTTCAACATGTAGCTCTCTCCGTAGCGCCGCGCACAATTTTGGTTGAAGCTTGCAACCGAGTCAAGGACGAAGCACAGGTCGTGCTCAACGTGGGGCTCCTGCCTTCGTGCTGCGCACATTCCTTTGAACAATTGGCAACGGCTGCCAGCATGGTGGGCGGTACCTTTCTCAGAACGGGGCTCCTGGGCCCGAGCGCCGCACCTTCATTGTAGACGGCTGATGCTGTAGCGCCGCGCACAGTCGTTTCAAAATCTTGCCAAAGGATGAAGGGCGGCGGCTCCTCTGAGGAGGAGGAGGAGGAGGAGGAGGAAGAGGAGGAGGAGGAGGAGGAGGAAGAGGAGGAGGAGGAGGAGGAGTCAAAACGGGGCTCTCGACGTAGCGCCGCGCAGAGTTCGTCTTGAACGCCTGCAACAGCTGAGGGGACGGGGAGCGGCTCCTTTTTTTCAAATGGGGCTCTCGCTACAGCGCCGCGCACACTCCTGTTTGCTCCCCAACCCTCCTGTGAGTCGGACCATCCCTTTGAACCCGCAGCGCCGCGAATATCCTTCATTCCTCCTCCCTCCCAATCATCCTCCTCCCCCTCATCATCCTCTGCTTGTCATCAGCAACGCCGTCAGCGTAATCATCGTCATCATCGTCGTCGTCACCATCATCGTCACCATCACCGTCATTTCTATGATCGTTACCTACATCATCCTTACCACCGAATCGGCGCACCTCTCTCACGTTAAATCCAGGCTTGGGCGCAGGATCCTGCAGGATGTTTCAGGATCCTGCAAGGCCCGACTGACCCGGGTTTGGATTGACCTGGGTCAGCAGGTCCCCGAAAAAGGGCACCCGGGACCCTGTCCCAGTCTTGACCCATTGTTGACATTGTCACCTTACGGCGCCATTGCCGATGGAGGGTGCCGAGGCTCTCCCTACGGTCCCTCGGCCAACAAAGACGGCCGTAGGGAGGGGCGCTAGCGTACCTCCACAACTCAGACCTTCAAGACCTTACGGCGCCAATTGCCACCATTCACCGTTATCCTCGATGCTGCAACTGCTGGCCTCGCCCAGTCTCATGATGCAGAGACCCCTCGGGAGCCTTGAGACGGGGGTCGATGCAGACGGGGGTCAGCCAGAGCGCCAGATCTTGCAGGATCCTGCGAAGACCCCCTCTGGCTGACCCGGGTTAGCGAGCCGCTCGTGGCCGCGAGGCGGCCGCGCCTATTGGCTGACCCGGGTTTGCGAAGGCCTGCGTTGTAGTTTTTTTTCCTGCATTGCAGTTTTTGGTTTCCTGCTGACCCCGGTCTGGATTGACCCGGGTCAGAAGATCCCCGAACCTCGGGGGCGGAAAAAAGGGGGGTGATGACTAGGGGGGGGTGGATATCATGGCGTGGGCCATGATATTTCCCCAGATGTCATGGCGCCTATTCTTGTTTCATTACGTCCCTGGCCCCCCCGCTGGGCCGCGCACATGCCGCCTGTCATGATTTGCACCCCCCCCTCTTGGACACCCCCCTCTTGGCCGCTCCCGAGAACCCCGCGGAGAGCGATCCGCTCAGACCCCCCGGGCTCCTCCGCCCGGCGTGGTCTCTCAGACCCCCCGGGCTCCTCCGCCCGAGCCGCTCTTGGACCGCCCCTGGGGGGCCGAGACCCGTCGAGGGCGAAGACGGTGAGCCACCGGGGCGCGGCCACGATCGGGGGATCCTCTTGCCTCCCTCCTCCTCCTCCTTCTCCTCCTCCTCTTCCTCCTCCTCCTCCTCCTTCTCCTCTTCCTCCTCCTCCTCCTCCTCCTCCTCCTCCTCCTCCTCCTTGGTCGGGGGCGGAAAAAAGGCGGGTGATGACTAGGGGGGGGTGGATATCATGGCGTGGGCCATGATATTTCCTCAGATCTCATGGCGCCTCTTCTTGTTTCATTACGTCCCTGGCCCCCCCGCTGGGCCGCGCACATGCCGCCGGTCATGATTTGCACCCCCCCTCTCGGACACCCCCCTCTTGGCCGCTCCCGATTGCAGTCGAAGCGCTGCAATGAGGAACCTGCAATGAGGAACGAGGCCTTTTTTCTCCATGATCTCAAACTGCGATGTGCAAAAGGAAATCTCAGGACAACCTGACACAGAAAAAGCTAAGGACCCCCTAAGACAAGCCGTAAAACAATTAAGGAACCCTGAGCCTCCCCCGAACGAAAAGGGTTCCTTCGTCAGCGGCCCGACTGTAGGTGGGGATGTCATGGCCTGGGCCTTGCATGCTCCGGGTCCCATGGCTTCCGAGACGTTCCCTGGACCCTCTTTGGGCCGCGCACGTGCCTCCACACGAGGTTTGCGAGCCCCCTTCTGGGACGCCACCCTCCTGGACGCCCCCGAACCAAGGTGCCGTCTCGATTGTTCGGGCCGTTTCGATTTTTCCGAGACTCGGGCGTCGAGCAATGGGGGGGGGCGATAAAATGGGGGGCAGCGAGGGCTGCAGGAAATGAGCCCTTCAGGGCCCCTGAAGGGGCCTGAAGGGGCCTTTTGGGGCCCAAGAGAGGGCCCTTAGAGCCCTGAAGGTATTCCTTGAGTGCCGGGAAGAAGGCCTGTAGAGCCTTGAAGCCCCCCCCCCAGGTATCGCCTCCCTATTATAAGCCTTGCCCAAGAGTCGCTGAGTCTTTGGGGAAGCTGGCGCGCCGCGCCGGGGAGCGCCCCGGCCGCCGCCCGCTGCCGGCGAGATGCCCCCCGGCCGCTTCGACGGGGCCAAGTCTGGCTTCAAGCCGAGGCGCCTCTGCAACTACTGGATCCAGGCGCCGCGTGGCCGCCCCCTCCCACCTCCCCGCCGAGCGTTTCGTCCTTCGACCGAGCGCCCCCCCCCCACGAGTTGGAGGCCTCGGCCCGAGCTGGCGTTCTGACCGCTTGCGCGGCGGGGTGCCGCCCCCGCGTGCGCAGGGCGCCCAGCGCGAGCAGCACCGGCCCATCGGGGCGGAAGCCACGCGCGGGCGGCCGCCGCATTGCGCGGGCGTCACTCGTCGCGGGGGTAGTTCGCCTCGCCGGCGCCGTCGTCGCCGTCGCCGTCGTGGCGTCGCCAGAGGTCTGGGGGCACCTCGCCGCCGCCCCCAGGCCTCGGGAGGATCCCCCAGCCTCCAGTATGGCAGGAGGTGTCGCCCTCCTCACCGAGTGCGTGCCACGAATCGCAGAGTGCCTACTCGCAAGCGTCCGGACGGCACATGCTTGCCTCGATGTGGTGCATCGCAGGGCCCCCCACGGCGGGTGTGGGCCATTTGCGAGTAGCTCCTGTGCGAGCAGTGGATCGCGCTTGTCTAATTTAGAGGGGGAAATAGATACCGCTACACCGCTGCTCGCCCTGGAGATTCCTCGTCGCCACGGCTGGATCCACCTCGAAGTTTTCGTCAAAAGGCACCCCGGCAGAGGTCCGGGACCAGCGTTAAGTCGGGCATGTCCCTCTACAGGAGGAATATCAGAGAAGAGTAAAAACATACTTTAGGGACGATGTTTGAACTATTCCTGATGTTGTATATGTTTTGACTATGTATCATTTGTCCTCCAAAAATCCGCCTGTATGAGGACATGCTCGACCTAAGATTAGCGGTATCGGTCTATTCTTGTTTCCCCGTAGACGGGTTTGTGTTGCCGTCGTCAGCCTTTGAGGGGCCCTCGTCAGGCTCCGATGACCGTCGAAAACTGCTCATGGTGCAAAGCTGGCCCTGGGGAGGTAAGGGTCGGGACTTCTTGCGGGCGGGGCGCACTGAACAAATCTAGATCTCAGGCCTTTGGGTTGGCCTCCGCGAAAACAAACAATTTCGTACTCTGCAGAGGTCGCAGAGTCGCATGTTTTTCGCACCTGGCGTTGTCGCCCATTTTCGAGACTCTGGCACCGATCGAGCAAGCCCAACACATGCCCCAGAAGATCGGGTCCTGGTCGCGATCTGGCACGATGCTGCTTTTTTTCTCGTGGCGCCAGTTTTCTAGCGGGCGAAGAATGGTATACAATAAACTTTCCGTCGCCGGGGGCGCTGCCCCAGGCGCCCACGACAGCGAACAGCTTTATTTTGTACCGCTCTTCGCCCGTTGTTAAGTTCTCCGAGAGCCTCCATGGCGGACCGACCTTTCCGAAGAGCAAGAAACTGTTGGCGCTGGGCTTTCCTCCTCTGGCGCGCGGAGCGCGCCGGAAAAACAAAACAAGTTATGCCGTCGATAGGATTAAGTCGGGCGTGTCCCTCTACAGGAGGAAGATTCAACAATAGTCAAAACATAATCTGGGAACAAGATTTGCATGATTTGAGACTATGTTTGCGAATGTTAGAATAGTTTATAGCTTTCGTCCAAAATCCGCCTGTAGGGGGACATGCCCGACCTAACGATAGGGCTGGAGGTGAACATGTAGCATTGCCGACCCCGTGCACGTGCTGTCCTCTTGCGCTTTGCTTCTCTCCCCCCTTCTTGCTGCTGCCGCAGTGTGGGATCGGGGGGGCCGCTTGTCCCACCCTCCCTCGCCCTCTTTGCCTGCCTGCCCGCGGCCGAGACGACGTGGTGAAGTGCCGCTTGCGTCTGGCTCTCGGCAAGCACCCGTGCCTGATGCAGTGCAAGCCGTGGGAGGAGAGCGGGAGGAGAGCGGGCTAGCAGGCCAGACGATCCCAGGCACGTCGGTGCAGCTTCTTGTCCGCATCGGTCGCACGTTTCATCGCGTGCGGTGCTCTTCTGAGCCGAGCCGACACTTGACGGTGTGCATGCAGAAGGGTATGGAATCACTGCCCCAACACATGCGCAATGAGTCACAAAGGAACAAAGAGGAAAGCACAATGGGAATCAACACACTCGGGGACAAAAAAGCTCTCCGTTATCCAGCTGCTCCTCCGCCTCCCCGCTCCTCCAGCTCCTCATCGTCTTGATCCCCTTCCTCCATCCCCATCATTCCATCAGATTCCTCATCCAACGTCTCGGCATTATCTTCTTTTGTTTCTCCTTTTCTTCCGTCATCCAGCTCCAAAAGCCTATCATCATCCGTGCCCTCACCTTCATCATTCCCCCTTCCCGCTCCTCATCTTTCTTGTCCTCCAGCGTGTCCTCCCTCTCTTCCGGCAACCAGCCCCTGAAGCCTGCCCTCCTGTTCCTCACCATCGCCTTGCCCTTGGAGGAAGACCAAACGCAACAAACACAGACCTTCCGAGCTCCACGCGGATTTCTCTGCTCGGCGCTGGGCTCCCTTCTCGAGCGCGCCAGGGGCGGCGCCGGAGGCGCCGCCAGGGGGGCCGAGCGCCGATCCAAGAAATCCGCGCGGAGCGCCGATCGTTTTATTTCTGTACAGTCGGCCGGGATTAACCCCAGGAAGCATTTAAGAACCCCCCCGGCGATATCGTAGCCCCGCATTTTTTAATTTTTTATTCGATATTCCGAGGGGCCGAAATAACCGAACGATAGCTTTAGCACCCGGACACAAGAGGAGGGCTCCTGGTGCCAGGTAACGCTTCCAGGGTGCGGAAGGGTTATCGATTTGCCGGAGGGGGGGGGGGTCTTAAATGCTTCCTGGGGTTAGTAGGTCGACCCTGCCAAATCAAGGGTACCTTTGTGTCCTGTGTCTCGCAGCCCGTGCCTCCTGCATTCCTGTGGCAACGTGGCCCTCGGAAGGGTCTTTTGTCCTCTCGCGTGCCCTGCTCGATGAAGTCCGGCTGTAGGTATTCTCCCCTCGGATCTCCCTCCTCGTCCCCGTCCCCTGCTCGTGCCCATCCCCTGCGCCAGCGCACGGCCGCCAGGATCCGGCGCTGTGCCAGAAGGACGGGGCCAGCACCTCGACCCCCCCTCCGCCTCTCTTCGGCGGCGAGGGGGGGAAGTCAGAAGGGGCGGGCCTTCTCAGAAGCCTCGGATCTTCCGCGGCCCTCTGAGAAGTTTCCGGAGCCTTCCCCGAAGACAGGAAGAGCTTGTCAGACGGCGCGAGGGCTTCGGAGAAGTCCCCCCGCCCTCTGAGAAGGCCTTCTGCTTCCCATTTCCCCCCCCCGTCGCCCGCCGCCTCTCTCGGGCCCCCCCGCCCGGGGCGGTCCAGGCGGGGCCCCTGCGGAGGCCCGAAGCAGCACGCTCGGGGGCTCCAGGGGCGGGGGCCAGTGCGGGCCAGGGGCGCCCTCGAGGGCGCGGAGTCATTCGCGCTTCGCGGTTCGGCTCCGATCCCTCATCCTCCTCCTCTCCCCCGGGAGGCGGCGCGAGAGCGCGAAACTATTCGCACCTCGCGCTTCACGCAGCGAAAAGCGCGAAGTTGGGAGCCCTTGCAGACGGGGGTCAGTCAGAGCGCCGGACATGTCAAATGTCCCTTCCAAGCTGCAGTGCTACAGGTGCACTTATCGCAAGGACACCCATATTCATGTGCCTTTTGCAAGCATTGCACGGCATTGTGTCTGGGGATCCAGGCAGAATTTTGCAGGATTTCGCAGGATTCTGAAAGCCCTGGCTGACCCGGGTCTGGATTGACCCTGGTCAGCAGGTCCCCGATACGTTCGGACCTCCGAAAGTTTGTGCTTACACTGGAGGCCCATGCCAAGAAACACCCTGCTTGCCTCCCTGGGTGCCATGGCTTTCGATGGTTTCGCTGCGGAAGCCGTGACGTCCCCACGCCAGAAGTCCAAGGACGTCCTGGGGTCTCAGCGTTGGGTTTCTTGTGGAAGGTTCCTTGTGGTCGGGCCTCCACTGTATTCGGCGACTACAAAGGGTGTGGTTACGCCGGGGTATGGTTTGCGATCGGCACCGTTGGGGCCTGGGGGGTACGACACTGTTCTCGTCGGGCCTCCTCGGGGCGCGGGAGAACTCTATCGAGATCCCCGCGCGCCCCCCAGGGGGCCCCCCAGGATGTTCCCCAGGGTGCCGGTTGCAAACCACACCTTTTGGTGTCGGCGATGTGTGCCGCCTGGGGCTCTTCTGGACAAGCTGCGGTGGGGGCGCTGGTTAAGGAATGCGCCCAGGAGGCTGTAGACCTTGGAGGATTCCTCCTCTGATGAGGGCGGCGGTGCTATCCATGGCCACGCCTCAATTGGAGTTCCACCGGCTTCCAGACCTTAGATTCCTTACCTAGGATTAGGTCGGGCATGTCCCCCTACAGGCGGTTTTTGGACGAAACATTCGCCGGCCCAACGGGCCAGAGGCGTGCTAAGATCACCGGTAACTACTTAACAATATTTCTAGTTCGCGCGCGCGGGGCGGCCCCTGGGGGGCCCCGGACGAAAAGTACCCCGGCCGATCCCCGGCTGACCCCCGGGCGATGCCCAGGGGGGAGGCTATTTTTCGCCACCCCTCACGAGGATCGTGGCCTCCGAGGGGGGGGGCTGCCAACGACTACCCCCCCTCCCGCCCCAAGGGGCCCCCAAGAGCCCCCCAAGAGGCCCCAGGGGAGCCCAATACGCCGCCAAGGAGCCCCAAGACGCTCCCAAGAAGCCCCCAAGAAGCCCCCAAGACGGCCCCAAGAGGCCCCAAAGAGCGCTCCAGGGCCAGCGGAATGAGCGAAGCGATTAGATGAAATTGTCAAAAAATGTTCCCAAATGGTTAAGAATAGTAAAACAATCGTCCCCAGACGAGTTTTGAAACAATTTTTGACTATTCCCCCTGTAGCAGGACACGCCCGACATAAACCTAAGGGTTCTTCTTTATCCAGTGCCCCCACCGTCTGCGGGCCACGCCCTAGCCGCCCTTGCGGGCCGCCGCCGCCGCCGCGCTTCGGGAGCCGCCCCGAGCAGCAGCACCTTCAGCAGGAACGCCTGCAGGAGGAGCGCCATCAGGAGCGCCTTCGGCAGCGCCTTCCGAGGGAGCGGCAACATCAGCACCAGAAGTCCCGTCCGCTGCTGCGGTGGCGCTGCTCGCGTCGCCGACGCGCAGCTCGGCGACCGGCAGCAGCAGGGCCAACAGGCGTGGCGCCGTCCCTGGAATCGGCGCCACCCCAACATACTAATACTATGTATGCGTCGCCCCCCCCCCAGGGGCGACGCGCGCACCGAGCAGTCTTATAGTATATGCGTCGTGGCGGGCGCTTTCTGGCCATACCGCTCCGGAAACGATATACTGCAAGATGGGTATACTATTCGGATCGGACGCGCGCCTCCAAGGAGGACAAGTAGTACTAGTATGTGTTTGTGCGTCCCATGGAATCACCCTCAAGATGAGGGACACGACCAGGGTCTGCCGAGGCAGCCTTGCCCGACGAGCCGGACAGCAGAATCTGGAGCGGTGCCACCACAACGGAGGAGGAGGAGGAGAACGGAGGAGGAGAGGCAAGAGTTGAGTCGGACATGTCCCTCTGCAGGAGGAATATCCCGAAATAGTCAAACTTTGTCTGGGAACGATGTTTCTACCATGCCTGACTTTCTGTTGAATCTATGTGTATATATAAATCCGCATGTAGGATTCAGTCGGGCATGTCCTTCTACACGGGGAAGATTCAAGAATAGTCAGAGACTTGTATGGGGACGATGTTTTATACTGGTTGGACTATTTGGGGGTATGTTTGACAATTTGATTGCGAAGGCCTTACGGCCAGCGCCGCCGACCCTGAAGGGGGACGACGACGACGACGACGACGACGACGACGACGACGACGACGCCGACGCCGACGACGACGCTGACGTGGGTCAGAGTCCTCAGGGATTCTGTTTGGGGTCTCTTCGGAGCGCTCTCGGAGGCCTCTGGGGGTCAGTTTGGGGGGCCCTTTGGGAGCATCTCGGAGGCCTCGTGGGAGCATCTTGGGAGCCTCTTGGGTCTTCCCTGGGGGCTTCCCTGGGGGGCCTCTTGGGGACCTCTTGGGGCCTCCAGGGGGGCCTTTTGGGGCCTGGGAGCCTCCCGGGGCCGAGGGCTCGAGAGGTCCGTTTGGTTCCCCTGTCTGGGCACCCTCTTGGAGCCCTCTTGGGGGCCTCTTGGGCTGTCTTGCAGGCGTCTCGGGCCGTCTTCGGGCCCTCTTCGGCCCGTTTCGGGACCCGTTTGGAGGCCTCCTGGGGCGACCGTAGGAGCCTCTTAGGCCGTGTTGGAGCGTCGGGAAGCTGAGAAGGCGAAAACACAACTCAAGGGAAATCAGTGAATTGTGCCTCTTGGGGCTCTCTTGGGAGTGCTCTTCGAGGCCGCTTGGGGCGTCTTCTAGCCTTCTCGGGCCATGTGGAGGCAGTAAAGACGTCTTGGACCGATCCTTCGGCGATTCGGGGCCCTCTTGGATCGTCTTGGGGGGCCTTTTGGGGCACTCTTGGCTCGTCTTGGGACTTTCGTGGGCCCCATGGGCCCCCCCAGGGAGGGGGTGGTATTCTGACCGGGGACCCCCCGGGCCCCCCCCTGGACCACCCCCAGAACACCCCCCCCGTGGCGGGGAAGGGGTCAAAGGGAAGGGGCTTCTCTTCGACTCAATTACGACGGTGCTCAATCACGTTTTGGCTGGCGCGCTTGAGGAGGAGGGCTCAGGAAAAGAAGAGAGCGGCGACGGGCCCAGGGAAAGAGAGGGAGTGGCGGCGACGACGACGACGACGACGACGTCGACGAAGACGAATCAAACGGAACAGCCTCTTCCAGACGCCGACAGGGTCGGCGGATATGTCTCTTACGACATCAGCCTGTAGGAGGACATGCCCGACCTAAGAAAAGGGGAGGGGGAGGGCAGGTCTGCTGGCGGCACCAGGCCGAGGTCAGACGCGCGTGGCACTGGCGGCTCTTCACTCCGTCTCCTGCGCTCCTCTTGCAGTCAAGGGTCTGGACCTTCTCGGGCAGCGCTGAGAGTTCACAGTGAGGTCAACCAGCGAGACTTTCAGTAGAGACCTGGAATCTAGGAGAGGTTCGCAAGACGTCAGAATCATCCACCCATCCTCGTTCGTATTCCTCATCGTTCTCATCCTCATCGTCTTTGACATAGTTACCCATCACAATCGTAAGATCCACCAGGCGTTCTCATCCCTCCTGCATTGTTACCCTCATCCTCTCCATGCTCACCCCTCCTCTCTCTCTCTCTCCTTCTTCCCCGTCTGCCGCATCCTCCCCACCCCCTCCTAAGTTTCGCAGCGCAGCAGCAGCAGAGGAGGAAGAGGAAGAGAGCACGCCGAGAGACGCCGGCAGGGGGCGGAGTGCACCTTTGCGCACGGGGTGCTGGAGCTGCACCCCGACTCAGTCGAGGGCTGCGGGGTCCACCCGCTCCGCCTCCCCCCTCCCGCGAGCTTCGACCGCGTTTAGCCAGGACCCCGTCTAAGGGGAGCCGGTGAGTGATTGGGCCCCGAAACCCAAAATATGGATTGGAACCACTAGCCAGGTCGGCCGTCGCTGGCGCTTTTCGGTTGGCGGCAATTCCGGTTAGTGGAATGGGACGGGGGGGGGCGTCCTGGGTACAGATCACTTGACCAGGTCCCACTAAACCCAGTCCTGCCATCGCCCGGCTCGAGGGGAGGAGAAGGGAAAGGCGGAGGCACATACTAAACCCAAGATGCATCAGCGATGTTACATTACATCTTGCCGCCCCAAGTCCCCTCCTCATCAGTCCATACATGAGGCTTCAGGGCTGGACCCCAACGCTGTTTTGCTGGATTCCGGCTCTGCTTTGTTTCTCGCTTTGGCAGGGAGGTACAGGAAAACAGGGAGAGCAAACCGAAAGTCACAACGAAGACAATACGAAAAGCAACGCTTAGGTCCAGCCCCCTGCAAGGCTTGCTCTTCATTGCAGGAGGCGCCCCCTCGAGGAGGAGGAGGAGGAGGAGGAGGAGGAAAGGAGGAGGAAAGGGAGGAGGAGGAGGAGGAGGAGGCACCCTTTGGGCCTGCTGCTCGGGCGAGAGCCGTGCTGTGAGAAAGGAGCCGCCTCGCAGCCTTCCGGCGCGCCGTCAGGGATGCGACACGGCATGGTCACACGGTTCCGCGGTGGAGGGGTTCTCTGAAGGGCTTGGGCGACCCGTCCTCCTCCTCCTCCTCCATCTCCTCCTCCTCCCCCTCCACCTCCTCCTCCTCCTCCATCTCCTCGTCCTCCCCCTCCACCTCCTTCCTCCTCCTCCTTCCCTCCTCCTCCTCCTCCTCCTCCTCCTCCTCCTCCCCTCCTCCTCCTCCTCCTCCTCCTCCGCCTCCTCTCCTCCTCCTCCTCCTCCTCCTCCTCCTCCTCTCCCTCCTCCTCCTCGCCTCCTCTCTCCTCCCTCCTCCTCGTCCACCTCCTCCTCTTCCTCCTCCTCCCTCCTCCTCTCCTCCTCCCTCCTCCATCTCCTCCCCCTCCTCCTCCCTCCTCCTCCTCCTCCTCCTCCTCCTCCTCCTCCTCCTCCTCCTCCTCCTCCTCCTCCTCCTCCCTCCTCCTCTTCCTCCTCCTCGGGTCGCCTACGGCCCCAGGGGAAACCGTGCATTCGGCGGCGCGTCCAGCGATACCCCCGTTTTGAAGAAGGACCGCCCCGCATCCGCGCAGTTAGCCCTCAAACTTACATGTACAGTGAGCGGCTTGAATAAGGAACACCTCCTTCTCAAAAGGGGCTCGGTCGTTCCTTCGGTTTGCATGCGTTCTGCTACCTTTTTGGCGGCGATCCCCCCTGGTGTTCCTTCGGACTTCGTAGACTCACTTGGAACAACAAGGGGCGTCGTTCCTTATTGATCGTTCCTTAGGTCGGGCCGATGACTGTACTGTACTGCCGTGAGCGTCGAGGAAGCCCCGAGCGACAACACCATTCTGAAGAAGAGCACCCCTCCCTCCGTGCAGTTTCCTCATGCTGTGGAAGCTCCTCGTTTTTTTTTAATGTTCAGGGCAAGCTCCCGCGAGAGCCTTTCTTTGACGAGGAGCCGCCCTCCATCCTGTGCCCCGCGCTGACCGTAGGGACGTGTGCATCAGCTGGGCTATCGTCGCGCCTTCTCCTTTCACCTCCTCTTCCCCCTCTCCAAAAGATGCGCTGGAAAAAAAAATCCATCCTTGCACACATGGCGCAGGTTTTAGACGAGTGCGAACGGCGCTGAGGCGAGAGCCCCGATGTGAAAAGGAATCGCCCTCCATCCTTGAGATCTTGTGTACCATACACCACAGTCGCAGCTGGTTCGGCCCAGGAGGGCCGTCCGAACCACATGCTTGACACAGGGATTCCGTTCGGTGGGAATCCCCTGTTGCGCCCCCCCCCCGTAAGGTGGCTTATGGGTGGGGGTGCTGCCTGAGCAATTTGGAAGAGCGTTGATTATGTTGCTGGGGAGTCTTCCGGGAACATGCTTGCAATGTTCCGCTTCGTGTTCCCGGAGAGGCCTCCGGGAACATGATTTGGGACCCCCAGCCGTCTTCCGGGAGAGACTTCTCGCAACATGGGGTTGAGACCCAGCATCGACGAAATTTGATTGACCCCATATGTTAAAAAAGTGCACTTAACTTTAATTAACACCCCCCCCCTCCCCCCTCCCTTTCCTGCTTAACCCAAGGAAGTCTTTAGAAATCCCCTGGCCAGTAGATGGAAAATGAATATCATTCGGGCGAATTTATTGACAACTCGGAAAAACGACCCCGCCCGACAATAGCGGAAAATAATTATAGTTCGGGCGGTCCGACGACGAAGACGAAGACGATAACGATAACGAGTACGCGTGCGATTGCGACTACGACAGCGATGCGACGACGAAGACGAATGTGCGCGGCGCTAAGGCGAGAGCTGCACTTTGAGGAGGAGGAGGAGAGGCTTCGGGAGCGGACGAGTTTCGGGACGAGTTCATTCACCGTGGAGGGCTCCAGGGGGGGGGACCAAAACTAAAGACTTCCTTGGGTTAAGGATACCGCTTCCGCACCGGGAAGCCCCAGGAAGCAATTATCCCCGCACCGGAAGGATGATGTGGTTCTCGCCTTAGCGCCGCGCGCATTCGCTTCAAAAACATGCAGGAGCTTCGCAGATGGAGGGCGGCTTGCGACTCTCATCTTAGTGCCGCGCACATTCTTTTCAAAATTATGTAAGACTTCACGGGTGGGGGGCGGCTCGTTTTCAAAATGTTGTTTGCGCCGCCGCGCCGCGCATATTCGTTTTCAAAACGTTGCAAGGGTTTCATGGATTGAAGGCGGCTTGTTTTCAAAATGATGTTGTCGCCTGAGCGCCGCGCACATTCATTTTGAACATGTTGCAAGAGCTTCACGGATGGAGGGCGGCTCGTTGCTCGTTTTCAAAATGTAGTTCTCGCCTCAACGCCGCGCACATTCGTTTTGAAAATGTTGCAAGAGCTTCACGGATGGATGGCCGCTCGTTTTCAACATGTGGTTCTCGCATCAGCGCCGCGCACATTCGTTTTGAACATGTTGCAAGAGGTTCACGGATTGAGGGCGTCTCGTGTTCAAAATGTGGTTCTTGCCTCAGCGACGCGCACAGTCGTCTCAAGCATTTGCAAGAGCTTCACGGATGGAAAGCGGCTCGTTTTCAAAATGTGGCTCTCGCGTTAGCGCCGTGCGCATTCGTTTTGAAAATCTTGCAAGAACTTCACGGATTGAAGGCGTCCCGTTTTCAAAATGTTGTTCTCGCCCCGAAGGCGCGCACTGTCGTTTCAAACATTTGCACGGGTTTCACGGATGGAAAGGGGACTCGTTTTCAAAATGTGGTTCTCGCCCCAGCGCCGCGCACATTCGATTTGAAAACTTTGCAAGAGTTGCGCGGATGGCGGGCGGCTCGTTTTCAAAAAGCGATTATCGCTTCAGCGCCGCGCACATTCGTTTTGAACATGCTGCAAGGGCTTCACGGATTGAGGGCGTCTCGTTTTAAAAATGTGGTGCTCGCCTCGACGACGCGCAATGTCGTTTCAAACATTTGCAAGAGCTTCACGGATGGAGGAGGGCCGTCTTCAAAATATGGTTCTCGCCTCAGCGCCGCGCACATTCGTTTTGAAAGCGTTGCAAGAGTTGCACGGATGGAGGGCGGCTCGTGTTCGACATGATGTTGTCGCCTCAGCGCCGCGCGCATTGATTTTGAACATGTGGCAAGAGCTTCACGGATGGAGGGCGGCTCGTTTTCAAAATGTTGTTCTCCCCTCAGCGCCGCGCGCATTCGACTGGAAAATGATGCAAGAGCTTCACGGATGGAGGGGCGCTCGTTTTCAACATGTGGTTCTCGCCCCAACGCCGCGCACATTCGGTTTGGAAGCGTTGCACAAGCTTCACGGGTGGAGGGTGGCTCTCGCGTCAGCGCCGCGCACACTTGAAAATGTTGCAATAGCTTCGCGGATGGAGGGCGGCTCGTGTTCAAATGTGGCTCTCGCCTCAGCGCCACGCACACTCGTTTTGAAACTGGTGCAGAAGCTTCACGGATGGAGAGCGGCTCATTTTCAATGTGTGGCTATCGCTTCAGTGCCTCGCACACTCGTTTTTGATATGTTGCAAGAGCTTCACGGATGGAGGGCGGCTCGTTTTCAAAATGTGGTTTTCGCACCAGTGCCACGCACATTCGTTTCAAACATTTGCAAGAGCTTCACGGATGGAGGGCGGCTCGTGTTCAACTTGCGGGCGGCATGTTACACTACGACGGTTACTATTACGAAATACGTTGATCGCGTCGCCGAACCCTGGGCATTAGTTATTCTTCCCGCCCCCAGGCGCTAAAGATAACGCTCCGTGCGGGGCGGGCGCGATACCCTGGTATGTACCGCCCCCGAGCACGGCCGACGAAAATAACGTTCTCATTAAGGATGACAATAATAACAACATAGGGCGGGGGCGGTTTGGAGAAGGAAAAAGGAATGTTCAGATTCAACTTCGTCTCGAAGAAGTATAACGCAACGCCACTGAATCCCAAAATTAAGACTGCCAGTATTATGGATATGTCTTCGAATGTTAGATATAAGTCATCGGTACTATTTTATTACGCCTGCAATTCCGCACAAATCGCAAGTAGCATTACTATGTATCACGATTGTTGATACGCCTATTAATACGTGGTTTAGAATCATTATTTTCATGCGCCGCTTCATTGGTTGGCGGAACTTGCTGGTATTTCCACGCTCCTGCGATGTCTCGCGGGCTGGAATGATTATTTTCGCGGTTCCGCGGTGCTAGAGATATCGTTCGGTGCTGGGCGGGCGCGATACCCTGGGATGGACCGCCCTCCCAGGACAGCCGGCGAAAATCAATGTCCCATTAAGGGTGGCAACTCGAATCACACAGGGCTGGGGCGGTGGGCAGAAAGAGAAAAAAAGCTTTGGACTCGGCCACCCCTCTCGAAGTGTTACATCCAGCGGTACGAAGTAGAACTGTTAGTTGCCACTCGTAAAACTTTTTTTATGGGTATTCCTTCTGATAGTGTATACA